GCACCTAACACGCGAGAGAGAGAGAGAGAGAGAGGTGCTGTTTTGGCTGGTCCCACCCAAATCTTCTCTGTGCTCCCCCTGCTTAGCTATTCAGCAGCAGCCCCCCCCCCCCCCCGAAGGTGCATTCTCCACGTTGATCATTGTTGCTGGTGCTCTCATAACAAAGTAAAAACTAAAAGCAACCGAGTCATTCTTCACCAGACTCCAAACAGTGGCCAGGGAGCGGTGTTTGCAGAGTGGGACGTGGCCAAAATCCTGGTGTACTTTAGCGATCCGAAGAAGGCGTTTCAAACGAAAAGTTCACATCGTCCTTCCAGACATCTCTGTGCCATGAGATCGGTGCATAGTATTGAAACCACTTCTAAGCTGCCAGACCTGGGCTAGAGATTACATTCCTTAGACAAGCCAAATCAGAGGCTCCCCTGTAACGTTTCCCAAACAGGATGATAGCCTTGTGGCAAAAGATAAACATGGTGCCTCACTCTCTCTTGTTTGCCTCCTGTGCTAGGAAGGGCAGTGGCTTGGTTAGAAACCCTGGGAGCCCAGCCTGGGGAACCGAGCTGAGTGTCTGCAGAGGTGGAGGAAAAGCTCCCCAGAAAGGAGCCGAGGTCTCGTTTTTGGAGTAAAACCTTCCACAGCTGAGTCTGTAAGGAGATAACAACAGCTGGCACAGTATGTCCCGCTTCTCCCATCCCATTCTCTCTGCTCCCACTGCAGATTTCCGAGGGATTCCCAGACGGGACGTTACAGAGCGGAAGCATGAAGCCTCAGGTGCCGCACCACGCCTTGGCCCTCTACCAGCAGCAGATCACTAAAGCCCATGAATCTGCCCGGGACGAGGTGGCCCAGAGCAAGCAGCAACAGCAGCAGCCTGAGCCGGAGCAGCAGGCAAGCAGTAGCCCCAGGGGAAAGAGCAGGAGCCCAGCCGTGGGTGACAAAGAAGGTAAGATGCGCCCGCGCGTGATTGCACAGAGCGGGGGCAGGGCTCCTGCGGCAGGGGGAAGCTAGCTTTAAAGGCTGATCGCGTGGCGGAGCAGACTCATGGTGGCATGGCTAATGGGCCGTGTTCATTAGGAAGTGCATCGTGAACCTGGTAGAACGTCGAACGCTGAGGACGGGAAGGTTGCCTTTGTTAGCGGTTGGAGAGTAGAGGACCTGGAGGCACGCCAGGACACTGGTTTCAGTCAGCTCTTTTCTCCCTTGTTTGCTCTTTATAAAGAATGCTTTTAATGCTCGGCGGGGGCCATTCTTTCATTTCAAATGAATACTCGTGCTGTGACTTCCTGTAAAGGTTCTCGATGCTGTCCCCTCGGGATAGCGCTAACGAAGGATTCAGAGCGTCGGGCCCCTGGGGGCCGCGGTTAAGGAGGACTGGGCACTCTTGCTGATGCCGTTTGTCATTTCAAAGCTGGTTCCCGTCAGAAGTCTGTACGTTGGCCGGGCGTGCGCTCTTTAAACCAGGGCACCTTGATGAGAGGGTTTGAGGCTGTTTTGAATCTGGCCGGAACCTGCACTGTGTTAAGTGCAGTTAGAATGGAGGCGGCTCGGCACCCGGCAGGCAGGGTCTGTAGGTTGTGATGATACGTGGTACGGTAACAGATAGATGCTGTGGCCGTCAGCTAACCAAGC